AGAACTGAACGCGGGTTCTGATGAGAACAGTGTAAGCGTTCAAGCAAACCACTTCTGAAGATGCAAGCCACTCGTGCTTGCGAAACGTCAGGAAGAAATTCCACCGAATGACGGCCTAAAAACCCGAAAAACCGTGATGGAAACAATGATGGAAATGCGCTGAAACCTTTCAATGAAAGCCATCTATTTTGTCTGCAATGGGCTCTACCCCCTATTAAACGCAAAAACATGGAACGTGGAACTATTTGCAAGCATACCGTCTTTCAGTTGATTCCTCCCGAGACCGAGATGTCTCAAGTTCTTGGGCAAATGCCTGAGAAACTCGCTCAAATCCTCAATCAAATTGTCAAAAAGTTCCAGAAAAACCAAACTTCTGGGCAGCATTATCCCTGGCACTTGCATCAGAAAGTTCCCAGACAGAGTCAGCATTCGCAGTTGCTCAAACTTTTGCAGACTGTTGTCCATTTCTTTGATCTTAGGCAAATGACCCCGGAAATGAGCTCAGGTTAGCAGTAACTACGATCACTTACAAAACAGCAGTCCAACTGCAAATATTTCAGATTGTTTCTGAAAAACCCCAGATCGATTATCTCACATTTGTCCACGGCTGTTTTGAGCAGATCGTAATGGTTCCTCAAAAACCCATTTCGCTGCGCCACAATATCGGTATCGTGCTGGTTGTACCGTTGCAAGTGCCATTTTAAGATTTGCAACTTATTCTCGTTGAACATGCGATTTTGATGTTCCTGGGCGTTCATCTCCTTCATAAACGGCCCAAAAATCGACATTTTCAACTTGTACAGAAGCCCCGATTTCAATGGGATGTTTAAAGTGGCGATTTGTTGCAGGATGCGCGCTTTTCTTCTGAAGATCTTCTCCTCGACGGTCCAGTGATGCGCCTCTAAATGTTTGGCGGACGGTAAGTCAAGAATTTTAGTACTTTGATCCATCGGAAGGGCAGTTTTACTGGAAATTTGGCATGTTGAACACGAAATGTCAGCATTTTTTGGTTAATTTTGTAAACTAGTCTTTATAATTTTCAATTTGGTCAACTTTACTGTTTTTATCAAAAGAGATAGACTTTCGAGGCCATTCCTTGAAACCAATGGGTTTTTAGGCCGTCGTTCGGTAGAATTTCTTCTTGACGTTGGGTTCTGATGAGAACAGTGTAAGCGTTCAAGCAAACCACTTCTGAAGATGCAAGCCACTCGTGCTTGCGAAACGTCATGGATACATTCTGCCGAACGACGGCCTAAAAACCCGAAAAACCCATTAGTTTAATATTTTTGCTTTAAAGTTATCCCAGATCCTGGACTCTCTTTGTCCAGTCGTATGAATGACCAAATGCAATGCTGTTGTGCTGTTGAGCGATTGCAGCCTTTAAACGATTGGAGAGTTTGTGTGTCAAGTTATTGGTAGTGGTAATTTCTAAAATAAATTAGCGCCCGATCGATGTGGCTCATAGCCATTTTGAATTATGGAACAGTGAAACAGTTCGGGTATGTGAACGGCCGCCTGCTTTCCAGCTCGGACACGCAACTCTGCCCTTGTATAAGTACTGTATTTAGCACATTTTTCCTTTATTTATTCAACAGCTCAGGCGCTCGATAAGCATGCCGTGCGTTCTTTTCGAAAAACGTTTCTGAATGCGGCTGAAGGATGTTGGTTTGCCGAACGGTTCTCAAACGGCAAGCTGCAAAGCTCCAATGATTTCGATCTCATTCCACATAAACCAGAAAAGTGGCGGCAAATTTTACTTTTATTCGTCCCGCTTGAGTCAGAAATGAATTTCATGCTTTCACCATATGCCGTAAAATTTTCTCGACGTGGGTGCACTTTTTATGTCCACACTTTCCCGGATTACGAGTGTGGATGGAGCATGATCGGCTTAAAAATACGACTTTCTACCAAACAGCTTCTGCATATTCGATTTTTCGGACAAATTTTGCTAATAGGGTGTTTTCATTGTATCAAAAGTTCCTTAATCTACGGTAATATATATATGAAAGATTAAATAAGTTTATACTGTCTATATATTGCTATTTTGTTACATATTTAATAAACAAATTCAGCTAAAACTCAAATTATTCACAAATTTCTAAAACGCAATCCTATTGCTTGTGACGTCTCTGGTCATATAAATGGCGGATTGCTTACGTTCTGTGCATAGTGTTTACTTGTGTGGTTGTGTTTTTTTAATTATTTTGTCGATTTAAATAATTGATAGTTTGTGTTAAACTAAAAAATGGCCTCAGAAGGATTCCTTAAAGCGTCAACAAACAATTTACCATGCGTACATATTTTTATGGTTACCGAATTTTAAAAAAACGACGAACGCTTTAATTCAGCCGAATTTCAGGGTGTCAAAGCAGCAGCGTCAGTAAAAATTCGTAAATTCATTGTTAGTTACTCTCTACTTAATATACTAATCTGTCTGTATTGGTTTAAATTAGGTAAATAATATATAGGATTTCACTTATTCAACTTAACCTAACTTATACACATGGCTGCTTTAAAAGTAAAATTAACTCTTAAATTTGTATTTTGGGCAACACGAGAACAATATGGTGATATGGGATATGTGGAATTGAAACGCGAGGGTTCTTTGTGCACTGTACCAGGTAGAATTTGCCCACAACACAGAGTACGATCGAAGGCATATTCTGTCTGCCTCATAATTAGCTTATTGTTCGTACTTTCATTAAAATGATCCTCACAACAAAAAAACATTGATTTTGATTTAGGCACATCACGTCTAGCTGCTTTGAACCATAAAACTTTACGTGCATAATCATGGGGAACGGTTAGAAAGAGTTTGTTTGGAGCACTTATTGAGGCATCCTGGCACAAAACACCACTTATTTTGTGATCCATACATGTCACTATTTTCCATTATGCAAGATAATAATAATAATCAATAAAACAATGATAATCTCAATAACTTATATAATAAAACAAAGTTGCGAAAATTGTTGATATGACCTGCTACGTCACAATCGGGATAGGCAACCGACGATACGGATTCGGCGTTTTTGGCGGAAAACATCTGATTTGAATTTAAATTCGCTTTAAAATGATTATGAAGACTTTTTTGCAAAAACAATTATATCAGTGTAATGTTTGCCATAACTACTTTCTATATATCAACATTAAAAAAGGTTAGAAAACCTTATTCACTGAAAACATTCATTTCTTGAACCGCACATGTTGTTCCCAATCGAATCAACCATTAAATCCAGTCTGGACAATCAGCCTAGCTGGAAATGAGGGTGCGTTTCATTAGAGCCAGGTATCTGTTCTTGTTTTAAGCATGCCTCTATCTAAACAGACAGAGACGCGGCTAAGTCTCGTTAGAGCCAACCTGTTCCCTGTCGTGTTTTACTCATCTGTTAAGCCGTCAAGCCCGGTCCCATTATTTTAAATAAAATTCATTGAGCACGCCGCCTTAACGAGGCAAAAATATGTTCAATTGACGGGAGCAAATTTGAGAGGGAGGGCGGCCCAAAGATACCCTTTGTAGCACTGTGAGAACGAAAATTTTGCGAGAATCAAACACCGGGTATTAAAGAGCAATTTATCCGAAATGTACACCACTGGATTTTTTTGAAACGAAAGCCCGTTCGCTGTCTTTCATCTAAATATTGTGCCTTTTTAGCAGAACTAAATAAACTTCCACTCGACAAAATACAATTGAGCGGCCTCGTTATTCTGTATCGCCTATTTTGTCCACTTATTTATACCTACTTTCCATTGGTCGAGTGGCCAGACTGGCCCCACTCGAAAACATTTCTTGAAAAAGGCCGGACTTCATTTTTCCGTAATTGAAGCTTCGGATATCAAATGTCCTCGAACTACTCAATGAAACTATGCGAATTTCATTGCGGAGTTAAAGAACGAACGTTTTTCTTATTTGTGGGATGGCCAGCTAAAACGGACTAAAACACTGTAATATGGAGGTTCTTCGTGGGTCACAAACTGTGCGTTCTGCTCAAGAAACACTCGTGTGAAAAGTTAATGTTTGGCTGACAAAAACGAAATATTCTTTATATGGACTCAAACGCTCTAAACACTCATATTTGAACGGTATTTTCCTGAAACTTTCAAAGGTGGCAAATGTGAAAAATCGACTTTTGGGCAACGAAAAAAAACTCAAACCACACACTGTCTAATTTCGTTGTTGTGTAAGTTCAACCAAAGAGCTTCATTGCCTTTATTCGGTTGCACCCGGTCGAACAATGGTGCAGAGTGCTTTCAAATGGCTGAAACCTTAAAGCTCGTTAAAAAAAATGAACTTTTGCTGCGTCTGTCGAAATAGCCCAGTATTCAACCCGTTCCATGCGATTTCCATAATTCCGCTAATTCGTTCTCTTCATTAAGCTGCAAAACCGCGCTAATTCCCCATGTCCGAAAAACTTCTACACTTTTGTTTATTTAAGTTCTAAGGCCGGATTAGGCCCTTATTATATTAGATTTACATGTTTAAAACAGCGGCGACTAAGCGAATTAGTCGGACCTTTGCCTAAGCTTTGAAAAAAACACAATTTCTGGACATGTGGTTAGTTCTTGGCATTAAAACGGGACGCTTAATGATTGCAAATACATATTTTGGCGAAAGTGGCCACAATTAAACCGGAATATGCAACACATACGGGTAGAGGCGCTTTGCGCGTATTTTTCAAAGTGCACTTAAAAGGCCCCAGCTCGCATAATTAAAAGCTCGATTGCAAAAGTTATTTCAGGAATTAATTAGAGCTTTCAATTAATCCCTCAGCAGTTGAACACGAACACCAACGTTAAATATGGTGGGGCTTTTCTGGCTAGAGCTACTTAACATATTAGAACATTTAGCTCCCAGTTCAGATCAAAGACTTTTTCAAATTTCCGCTTCAATCCAAAGTCAATGTTGTAGTTTGAGTGTGCTAATTAGCCGGATTTTCGCAGTGGCGTCGTTTAACATGATGTTCATTAAATCATGGACGTGGTCTGCATTAAGCGGAAATGGGTTGGGTTTTTTGAGCTAAAACTGTTTTCGTTTGCTCACTGCAATCTAGCTACCCGTAACTGAAACAATTCTGGAAACTGCGCGAAATTTCCTATTAAAGTGAGTTTTTTCTCACTTAAAGCAGCGGATTTTCTCTTTCAAGTGATGTTATGGGCTGGATGCAGGGATTTTCGGTTTTTTCTTGACGAATTTTTGAAAAACTCGTGTTTTCCATCGGCAATCGATTGGCTTTAGTAACTGAAAAGTACAACTTTCAGAAATTTCCTATTTTAATAGGAAAAACTCACTTTGGTGAGTTTTTTCTCACTTAAAGCAGCGGCTTTTCTCTTTCAAGCGATGTTATGGGCTGGAGCCAGGGATTTTCGGTTTTTGTTGACGAATTTTTGAAAGACTCGTGTTTTCCATTGCCTATCGACTCACCTTACTAACAAAAATCCTGGAAACTTCCAGAAATTGCCTATAAAAGTGAGTGTTTCCTCACTTAAAAGTGCGAAATTTCTCTTTCGACATATATTATAGACAGTCTTGGAGATTTTGTGTTTTTTGGTGGCAAATTTTTGAAAAATCCCTGCTTACTACCGGCCACTCTCCTCACTTTCGTTACTCAAAATATTCTGACAATTCCCAGAAGAATCCCATCAGAGTGCGATTTCCATTCCCCAAGCAGCGCATTTCTGTTTCAAGTCATAATAAGAGCCGGATTGTGGGATTTTTGGCCATTTCTTGAAATCTTGGAATTTTTGAAAAATTCGTGTTTTTCAAAGGCCAATCGCCTCGCC